TCATGCTGTTAATTGCGCTTGTGCCTCCAGCTCACTCATGTGCCGTACCAGCGTCGGTAGATGGTGACCACTCTCCTCTCCTCCATTAGGATTTAGGAGGCAACAAAGGCGTCGGCTAGCTGTGGCGCGAGATCATGGCCCCAAACTCAGAGCATCTCCAAGAGTGCTTCATATTTTTCTCTCAAAACTTCCATGTTTTCCAACTCTCAAAAGTTATTGGAAGAAAAAAAAGACCATCTCCAAGAGTTTTCAATAAATGACTTCTAAAAAATCAAATTTTGGTCCCACAACTTTTTTTTGCGGCAAATTTTTTTCCGCATGACTTCGCTGCGTCACGTGAAGTCCTTCGTCGCTCTCGTCTATCCCATCGCCGCACCGCCTCCTCCCTGCTGGCTGTGGCCAGATCCCAGGCCGTCTTCTCCTCCCTGCTGGCCGTGGGCAGATTCCAGACTGCCGCAGGCACCTCCCAGCCAGCCACCTTCTCCTCCCTGCTGGCCGCGCCCTCCATCCAAGCCGGCCACAACCACCTCCTAGCCGGCCTCTCAAGCATGCTAGACATCATAAGTGGTCACAAATCACTACTGCAAAGAGAATTGAATGATTCATCATCAGACGGCGATGACTATTTGATCTTCTCAGCAGTTCAAATTGTGAAAACATTTTCGAATGCTAAAGGAAGACATGGTGATTCTGTACCATGCCATCAAGTTATTCACCGAGATAGAGAAGGCGGCCACCAAAGGATGTTTGAAGATTATTTGACGGATGATCCGACATACATCCCACATTTATTCCTTCGGAGGTTGGTGTGCATTCACTTCTGATTGGTACATACTATGTAGTTATTAATTATTATATGAGTTGTTTAACTTTTTTTGTTTATTTCAGGTACATGATGAGTAGGGAGCTTTTCCTATGCATAATGAATGCTGTAGAATTACACGATGACTACTTTGTGCAAAAAAGGGGTGCGGCCAATGTACTTAGATTAAGTTGCTTCCAAAAAAATCACTGCAATATTTCGTATGCTAACATATGGGGTTCCAGCTGATGCTACGGATGAGTATGTTCGCATTGGAGAAAGTACCGCAATTGAGCCTACGTAGGTTCGTTGCTGCAGTAATTGACATCTTTGAAGATGAATACCTGAGATCTCCTAATGAGACTGATACAACACGCTTACTGGCATTCGGTGTGCAAAATGGTTTTCTTGGTATGTTAGGGTCCATCGATTGTATGCATTGGGCATGGAAGAATTGTCCTCTACAATTGCAGGGTCAGTACAAGGGGCATATAGAGGAGCCCACTATTATTTTAGAGGTTGTTGCTTCGAACGATCTTTGGATATGGCATGCCTTTTTTGGAATGCCTGGGTCTCATAATGATATCAATGTGCTTCATCGGTCTCCTTTATTTGCAAAGCTAGCGGAGGGTAGAGCTCCTGAGGTCAACTATACCATTAATGGTCATGATTATACGATGGGTTATTATCTAACCGATGGTATATACCCCTCATGGGCTACTTTGGTCAAGTCCATCTCTCAGCCTATGGGGAACAAGAGGAAATATTTTGCCAAAGCACATGAAGCAGCGAGAAAGGATGTCGAAGAGCTTTTGGTGTTCTGCAATCTAGGTTCGCCATTGTTCGAGGAGTAGCTCGCTTATGGGACACAGAGACACTTGGAGACATCATGAAAGCTTGTGTCATCATACACAATATGATTGTCGAGGATGAAGGAGTCGTTGACCCTACTGAGCGGTTCGATTATGGTGGCCAAAATGTGGAACCTTCTCATGAGAGTAACATCTTCAATGTTATTGGCTTCTCCATTCCTTGGCATGGAATCCGTGCGAATCTTCTGCTTCTTCTTAGCGGCTTCCTTCTTCTACTCTTCCATTTCCTTCCTCTTGGCCTTCCACTTGTCTTCACCCTTCAACTTGTTCCAACAATGCATTAGAGTGAATGTCTTGTTCTCGCTGTCTAATCCTTGAACATCTCGCATGCTTGAGAAACCTGCACATGTTATTAATTGTCAATGTGTATGTCTTCACAAATGAACCAAATAGAGGAACAAAATAAATGAACAAATGAACCAAATATGAAAACAAACCTTATCTTGGATGGTTGCACCACTTTGATTCCTACGTTCAATCGCTTCGTAGCATGCACAAAACTTGTTCACTTGCACCAAAATAGTCATCCACCTATGCATAATGGAACTCTCCATTCTGAAAGCTTCAATTTTCTTGTGTTTCTCAAAGTAAACATGAATTCAACTCCAAAAGGAGGCACGAGATTGATTATCCTCGTGCACGGGGTCTTTGCTAACGTTCAACCAAGCTGACACAATAACCACATCCTCCTTCGGATCAAAATTTTTTGTCCTCTTGAATAAGGCCTTGAACTGCAAGGGCGTGGAGCACCTTCACGTGGCTGCACCGGCACATCAACAGCTTGAACTTTAGTAGGCATCTCATTAATTTCCTGGGTCTCCTATGTCATGGAAAAATTGTAGTCTTCCAAACCAGCACCATCATCCTCTCCTGTGACCATGTTTGTTCAAAATCCACCCCGGACATTGCGACGATCCTACAAGTATTAATGCCAATAATCAACCAAATTTTATAATCAAAACATGTCACAGCTAGCCCTGACTACAAATCAATGCACTGATGGTGACTTTACAGATAAAAGCTACTCCTTTCACATCAAAGAAGCTTGCTGCAAACTCTTCCATTGACCTACGGTTGCAGGCAGCCCCGTTCACAACAGGAGAAGCATAGTAGAAACACTACACCAATCAGGGCCTTGTTTAGATTAAAAAAAAAATTCAAACTGATGAATAGTAGCACTTTTGTCTTATTTGGTAAATATTGTCTAATCGTGGACCAACTAAGCTCAAAAGATTCATCTCGTAATTTTCAACTAAACTGTGTAATTAGTTATTTTTTTTACTTATATTTAATGCTCCATGCAAACGGCTAAAAATTGATGTGATGGAGAGAGAGTGAAAAAACTTGGAATTTTAAGGGTATCTAAACTAAGGCCCAGGCATATCGTATTATTATTCTAAACCAAAGGCAGGAGTTCTGCCGTGGTCAGTGGATATATCATTCAGGCTTTATAAATCACAATTGAAACATGAGCTTTTGCGGGTGAAATCATGGTACAGGTGATTCACAAAAAAGCTAGATCCCACGGACGCTAGGCAGGCAGGGGCTGTGTGTGGCCACCAGCGGCTGCGGCCGGCCATGGGCCTCAAGGCGGCGCGCGGCTGGGGGCCGTCTGTGCCTCTGTGGCGTGGCCAGGGACGGAGAGACGACGCGCAGAGGAGAGACCGCGCGTGATAAATAGCCGCGGGAAGGAGGAGACGGCGCGGGAAGCAGGAGATGCGCGCTATTAGGATGCGCGTATTTTTATGCGCGGTGGTGACCAATTTACCAAATGCCAAAAGATGGGAGAAGAGATATGGGTACTCTTGGAGATAAGTTTTTCTTTTTTCCTAAAATACATGGATAGGGAAGGGATATGAGGCACTCTTGCAGATGCTCTTACGTAACGAAATCCGAACCATACATTGTTAGCGTTGATCTCAGGATCGTCGGTCAAGAAGGATTTGAGCGGATCCTCCTTACGGCTAGTTTGGATTAACCATTCCCTGTGCGTACTAGATGCGATTGAAGCAAGAAATTAGTTCATTTCCTCTTTAGCTCCTCCGATTCCTATAGGAAATAGATGTATCCAAAGTTCCAAACTAACCCTAAACTAGCTTTTTCTAAACAAGGCAGGAGAATTGCCTATTATATATGCTAGTAGAAACAAGACTGTATGAAAAAGTATACAAAGAGTGTAAGTTGAGTTTGCATAATATTCACCATTAGCAGAGAGCTTCCAAGAGATCTCGTCGGAACCTTTGGCCGCAAATTTATGCCTTGTACTCCATAAAATGTTGTGCAGTGAAATCACGGTGCTGCAGGTTATATAAGATCCTTAGATCCAATTTTGATTTTTAGTGGCAACATATAGGGAATTAGAGTTTTACTAAAAAAAAACATATATGGAATTAGGGATCTATTTAGCCTCTGTCCTTGACTCCAGGCCCATACCAAAAGGAAGATTTTTTGCCATTCCCAACGGTAATGTTTTATCGCAGCTGCTAACAAAAGACGATCGGTTCCATTCCATTGGATCGTGCCATCCCGCGGCAGCAAGCATTTCAAACGAAGATGCCTGCATGGCTGCATGCCTCCGATCCTCCGATGCTTTGCGTGCAGCATGCGTGCATGCACCGCGCCGTCGACGAGAGGGCGCGCGCGCCCGAGAGGCTGAGCGAGACGGACGCATCGCATCGGACCAGACCACCCGGTGTCGCCGTCGTCGCACGGTACCTGGTGACCGCCCCGGCCGCCGCCATCGCGCGTTCCGTCGCCCACGTCGCGCGGGCCACCCCCGTGCCCGTGGTCGTGGTCGCAAAGCGGCACGGGTTCTTTTCTTTCCGTGTCTGCCGCGTCCGCCCGGGCTGATCCGGGCACCGATCCTCCGCAGTTGAATTCCTGGTGAATTTGTCGTTGGCACTTGGCAGGTGCGTGAACACGAACAAAGCAGAGCCGCAGTTCACAAGGCTGATGATGCGTGCACGGGAACAACTGCTGGACGGGAACTTCAAATCGAAAAGGCGGATTTAAACGTGGTTCTCGATCGCAGATTTAAGGATAATGCCGATGAAGAAATGAGGTGGTCTGGCCGCACGCCAGCCGTAGGCGTAGGCGTTCACACTTGGTCGAGAAAAAGGCCACGCCTGTCATATGCCTCACCTCACCACCACCGGCCCGCATCGCGTGATCAATTCCTAACCCAGAATCATTACCTATAACTGCCTACTTAGTAGAATTTGAATGTTGCCGCAATCCAATCCAATCCAATCCAAGCCCTGAAACTGAATAATCAATCAGGGTATGTAACTGAACAATTTGTTCGCCTGTGACGGTGTGACAAGACGTTAGAACGGATGGTGGTGGCTCCGGCTGATGCCGTTCACGTTGGCGAAGAAGCCCACGAGCTCCTCCCGGTACGGCAGGAACGTGCGCCGCGGCGTGCCGCCTGGTGGGACGGGGACGCCGCCCCTGGCGAGGTACGCTATCCGGTGCGCGGCGGCGTCGGCCTCTGTGGCGGGGGCGGCGACGGGCGGGGGAGGCTTCCTGCAGGCGCCGGCCGCCGGGGCAGTGGCAGGCTTCTTGTGCCTCCTGAGCGCGTCGTGCGGCGGCGCGGAGGCGACGAAGAGGAACTTCTCCCTGCCGTCGCTGTGGCTGCGGCCCACCACGAGGCCGCTGATGCGGCGCCACCGCGCCATGGACCCCGTCGACCCGCTCTTCCTGGGCGGCGGGGAGGGCGACGCCGACGCGGATGAGCCAGGACGCCACACGCAGTAGCTCTCCGGCGCCACGCCCTCCAGGCCGTCATCGTCCGTGGCGGCCCCTGACGACGACGACGTGGACGCCGTGGAGCTGGTGGAGGAGTTGCGCTCCCGGGTCTCCTCCAGGAACAACTGCCCCAGCTGGCCCCTCACCCGCGGCTGCACCTCCGGAGCAGCCGGCAGCGCCGTGCAGCCGCTGCCACGGCCGAACACCGGGTAGAAGGTCCTGATCCGGCCGTCGGCGAAGAGCTCGTCGGCCGGGGCGGCCGTGCCCGCGGGGGAATCTCTGCTGACGAACGGGAACTCGAACTCGAGCTCCCCCTCGTCGTCGTCCGACGACTCCTCGCCCGAGGACGAAAGCAGCTGGACGACGGGAGCTAGAGCGTCGCCGTCGTCGCAGGGCGTGCCGGTCGTCTGCGCCGGTTCGGCGACGGTGGGTCCTTGGGACTCTCTTGGCTGGGGAATTCTCTCCTCCATGGCCGCGACGCAACGCAACTCGTGAGCTTTTGTGACAGACGGCGTGACGCTTTTTGTGTGGCGCGGCCGCGGCGAGGGTGGTAGGAGGAGGAGGGCTGAGGAGTGAGGAGACGGGCGGCGGGGGATAAGAAGAGGCCGGCGTTTATATACAAAGCCAGGGGGTGAGGGGGGCCCAGCCAGGAGGCGTTCCAGAAGGTCAGTACTAGACTCGGCAGCCTTTGTTTTGTCCTCGACGATGACGACGACGGCTGTGACGCGTGCAGACGGAACGAAGGAATGAGCGAATGACCGACCGAACCACTGAACGACTCGAGCCGCCCGATGCAGGAGATTATCCATTTATATTTAGTGCATGTCCGTGAGATTATGCTTAATTTCTCGTCATATATACTGGCCTGACCCCGAGTGCGAGTTGTTTTCACTTTTCACCGTGGTCGCTTTGCAGACAAACTCTTGAAGAAGAAGGTGCACTCCGATCCGGCGTCGTCCACACCGGTCGGTCAACGTGGCCCTGCTGGTGATCGGAGACCGCAAGTCCACGGTGGCGTCGTCATTGAGTGGCCACTACTGCACTACTAAGTGGGCTGGTACTGCACTACCAATTGGGCTTGTTCTAAAAGAAAGTCGTTTTGGTGTTTTAAGTCGTTAAACTTTGACTACAAATAACCGGTCGGTTTTTTGAAAGATGATTCATCTCGAAAGTAGTTTCATAAAAATATAAATAATAAAGTTATAGCAAAAAAAATGACTTTACCGAAAAAAAGTAGAGTATTAAGTAAGGAACGAGGCCCACCGGTGGACACCACCGGTGGGCACTAGACGATCTGACGAACAACAACTATTCTCATCGCATCGCATGATCACTCCCTTGGACTCCAAGCCTCGTATCCGGGCCCTATCCTAACTCCTAGCTCCCTTTCCTGTTGGAAACGGACCGAGGAGCACAATTTGTCAATCAATGCACAAAATAAAGTGCGTTACATAGCATACTGTGTACTGTACGCTACGGCCGACAGGGACACGCCTAGCTACCCTGTAGGAATAGGATTGTAATAGGAGACTGCTGTTCCACAAGGACCTCGTGCCATCGCCGTCTTTCGATCTCAGGATGTCGTGTCGTGCCTTCATCGACATCCCACCCAGACCCAGACCCTGGGCATCCCCGCGCTCACGCGTCGCGCCGCGGATGCGTTCCCACGCCAACAGCGATCGCCTGCCCTCTGCGGGCACCGGGCTGTGGCGGTGCGCGCGCGCGCTCCCGCGTTCCCACGTCGTTTACACCGGACCCAGCAGCGGCTTCTTGTGCTGTGACTCCTTGGTCACCAACCTGGAGCCTCAAGTCTCGGTCCTGTACGCTTCTTGTGGTGTACAGTGCTTGCTCGGTGCAGTACGTAGGCGCTAGCTTTAAGCCTGTGTGTGTGTGTCCTCTCTCTCACGCTCTCCACATCGCTAATTAACTGCGTCCACACCACTGCTGCGTGCCTGGTGGGACGTTAGGCGTGCAGCTACACGGTGCGCCGCCGTACGTGCCGTGGTTGGTCTGGTCCAGTGCTCTCCAGTGCCGGCGACGGTGAGGCGGAGCTGCCGCTGTGCCGGTGCGCGTCGGCGGCATGCGGCCCGTGCGGGTGGACCAGGTTCAGCCCAAGTACGAGTTCGCGTCTTGGGTACCTGGGCAGCTGGGCTGGCAAGTTCAGCCTCGGTGGGCCGATCGAGTGTTGGGTCTCGCGGACCCAAAACAAGTCTTCGCTAGGCTACCAAGTTCAGCCTCGGCGGTAGTGCCAACACTCGATCACCACCTGGCTTCTCGTTCCCCGCCTCCACGGCTCCACTGCATCCCCGCCGCTCCTCAAACCTAGATCCGGCTGCCGTGTCCGCGCGAGGGGTGCGCCCGGTGATGGCGGACGAGCAGCCCGGGAAGCTCCAGCGCGCCGCCGCCGGGACCGGGAGGCAGCCGCTCGCGGATGCACCGCCGCCACCGGCGGGGGAGCCCATGGAGTTCGCGATCAGGGAGGACGACGCCCTCCTCAACTAGAAGATGAAGCGGAAGAACAAGATGGACTCAACGAGAAGATGAAGCGGAAGAACAAGATGGACTACAAGGTCTGGCTCCATCCCTCTATCCCGCACCCTCATGTGTGTTGTGAACTGGTTACTGGTTAGCGTATCAGCAGCGTTTCTGGACCACTGAAACTACAGAGAAAATGGGCCAGTCACTTGCCATTCAATATTTCCTTTCAACATTTGAGCATCATTTAATTGGATAACTACTGTAGTTTGTAGGAAGAAAATAAAAGGCTTCAACCAGTAAAAACAGATATGTTTAATTTTTAATTTAAACATCAAAATGATAAGCATGGTACTGACGATGATTCCACTGAAAGTAGCTCCTAGGACCTTTACAATGCTCCACTCAAAGTAGCTCCTGTCAGTATGTCCTTTCCTTGTCCACGCTTTTTTATTGAATTTGTTTATGGAGAATTATCCTGATGTCTTGATTATGCTGTTGTCCTTTTAGTCTATGCAAAATGAAGTTGAAAGTCTTAGAATGAAGCTTCAACATGTAGACACTAGATCTGCTCAAGTAGATCATTTGCTGGCTGTTATTGGAACATACAAAGAAAAAGAAGTGGCTGGAACAGTTGCCATTCAGTTGGACAGCCATGCAAAAAAATTATCTGCCCTTCAGGTATGATTATGTGTCTAGATAATTTTATCGTTATCTAGATAAGTGAAACTGGCTAACATGTTTTCAATGAAATAGAGAACATGTTTATCCCAAAGAGACAAGGTACAGTCATCGCTAATTAAGCTCGCAGCTGCCAATGAAGAGCTGGCAGCTGCCAATGAAGAGCTTGCAGCTGCCAATGAAAAGGTTGCAGCTGCCAATGAAAACCTTGCAGATGTCAAAGAAAAGCTTGCAGGTGCCAAAGAAAAGTTAAAGGTGTGTACATGTCTATTTCTTCATTATATAATGATGTTGTGTTATATATCAGTAAGTACAGGTTTATCTATATATATGTTTGTTAATGTATCAAGTGTTAACATTGTAAAATGGCTGCAAGTTTAATCCTTACGCTGCCGCAGACTACTGCATACGTGATATCTGAAGATGTCTGTGAAGTGTTCATTTCGTAGATAGTTTCATGTCAATGCAATTACATTAACTTCAGAAAGTAGAATTGTTCCTAACTGCTCATTGCTGCATGGTACACGATTTAAGTAATCAATCCTGTTTAGCACCATGCTGATTCTCAAAGGTCAACTTACCTTAAACTGGACTTAGATATTAATGGTAGACTGATGAGAGATTAAAAAATGAAAAATCTTGTGTTTAGTTTCATTGTTAGATCCAGGGTTTACAATTTCAGCGAAATTTCGTTGAAATTCCTGAAATATCGCCTTTTTCTCCGGGGTCTGAAAAAATTTGTATCGGTCAAAATTTTTCGGTTGAATTCATCTTTCACCTTAAAATTACACCAAATCGTACTAGATCCTCCATATCCTCTAGTTTTACTAAAGACCTAAATGTATTCGATTTCCTCACTCCCACGTCCAGCGTCACTAGCATTGGTAACTCACTCATCGTCAGCTCGCCAAATTACCAATGCTCTCCTATGTTATATATTGTGTTATTTAGTCGGTTTTATATATATTTGTGATGCACGATGGATTGGAGAATGTTTCTTGTGAAACGACGTTAAATTTTTCAAAAAATCATTTTGAATTTGGTCCGATATTGCCAAAATTCTCGAAATTTCGTATTTATCGCTGGGTGCCGAATTTTTTTTATACCGGAATTGTAAACCCTGGTTAGATCTAGCCAGTTGCAATCGCAAGGCTCCTTGAACATGCATCAATGAGGGGCTGCTTCCTTCTTCTAGTGATGCATCATACACTAAGACATGGGATGGTGGGTGAGAGCTGAGAAGTTCACTCAATATGTGCTGCTGGATATTCAAACATGCTTATGGGATGGTGGGTGAGAGCTGAGAAGTTCACTCAATATGTGCTGCTGGATATTCAAACATGCTTGTTTCAGTTACCTCTTGCGTCATGAGTGTTCTGGTATCCACTTCACCTTATCATGTATTGCCCTTGTTAAGCTACCAGGAGTATATTAATAAACATTACAAAATCTGAAATTTTGATATATGTGATTTTGTCCTCCAAATAAAAGAAGTTTTTGCATATATACGATTTCAAGCTCATATTGAACCAAAATTTGGCTTTTGAACATGGCACTGTATTTGACCTGGCAGATCATAGAAATGATACAATTGGGTGAGCAGCCAGATGATATCCAGGCATGTGGATTTCTTGTTATCTTCCTATAGTGCTGTTACATGTTAACTCTGTAGCTCTGTGGTTTTGTTGTTTTATAACCCTTCTATTTTTGTGTGATATATAGGATGTTATTGATGACCCTCCAAATCCTGATCAGCCAATCTTATAACCTCGTATGGCACCGAAACCAAAGGTTTGTGGTTGAAAACTGACTGCCTAACCACACCTTTCTTAACATAGATTTGTTTCTTGCATAGTCATGAATCATGATTGCTGGGAAAGTAGCATATGCGTATCATGATTCAGATTATCTCTTGATACCAGCAGTAGGCTCACATTTAGTTTCCTGGTGAAACAGCCATGGGAAAAGCCAGGTCAAGGAAGTTCGGCCTGGGATTTGGAATCACCACAAAGGGAACTCGGACGACGTATTGAGATCAGAAGTTCAGCACGATGGCACCAACAAGGCTACGGAGTCGGCCGATGGCTCTCGACACTGCACTACCACCACTACCGGTGGGCGATAGACGGGTTAACGAACAACGACTCTCATCGCGTCGCATGGTCACTCCCTTGTACTCCAAGCCTCGTCTCCAGGCCCTACCCTAGCTCCTCCCTTTTCCGTTCATAGCATACTGTGCACTGTACTCTACGGCCGACAGGGACACGCCTGGCTACCCTGTAGGAATAGGATTGTAGTACTAGCAGACTGCTGTTTCAAAGGACCTCGTGACGTCGCCGTCTCTCCCGATGTCTGTCGCGCCGCGGATGCGTTCCCACGCCAACAGCGATCGCCTGCTCTGCGGGCACCGGGCTGTGACGGTGCCCGCGCTCCCGCGTTCCCACGTCGTTTACACCGGGCGGCACCGACCGTGGCGGAGATGCACGGGAGCAACTGGCCCGGAGGAATCGGACGCAGCCAGCAGCGGAGGGACGACGCGTACGCCCGGGGCCCGGCCCTTTCTTTCTAGTCTTTTGTACCTGGAGTCTCGGGCTGTGTTTAGTTTGTGAATTTTGGGAATTTGGTTATCGTAGTATTTTTATTTTTATTTTTATTTGACAATTAGTGTTTAATCATGGACTAATTAGGTTTAAAACGTTCGTCTCGTAAGTTTTCAATCAAATTGTGTAATTAGTTTTTTTCGCCTATATTTAATGCTCTATTCATGCGTATTGCAAGATTTAATGTGATGGCTACTGCAGTATTTTTTGAAATTTGTTTTTGAACTAAACAGGCCCTCGGTCCTGTACGCTTCTTGTGGTGTACAGTGCTTGCTGGGTGCAGTAGGCGCTAGCCTGTGTGTCTCTCTCTCACGCTCTCCACATCGCTCATTAACTGCGTCCACACCACTGTTGCGTGCCAGGTCGGACGTTAGGCGTGCAGCTACACGGAGCGCCGCCGTACGTGCCGTGGTCCAGTACTCCTGTTGTTGTTGGGGGGCGACCCCCCTCCCCTATAATTAATTTTTTTCGGAATTGGGCTGCTTCTCTTCTATTTGGGCCGTATTTTCGTTCAGGCCCGCGCCCCAGGCAGCCTAGTCGATAGCCATGCAGTAGATTCCATAATAGGTGACATCAGTGTATGTCTCATGCTTTTTCAAGTAAAAAAGAGTCATAGCTCCTAAACCAAGTATCCTAATTAAAATCCAATTGTACCATCATATTTCTTGCAATAAACTTTTCAAAACAAGATTCCATGTGGATATATTTTGATAATTTTTTAAAGAACATTTATCTCATGATGAACCTATATTTAAAGTTATAATCGTCGAACATCACATTAACACTACACGAATATTGCAGAAAATAGCATAGAACATTATATGTATACTACGCGAATATCATATATAAAAATAAAAAATAAAAAAAATAAAATTAGTGAAGTAATTAATTATAGTCAAATAAAAGAAAAAGAAAAATTCTACGGAACATCACAAATATATCGTAGAATATCATATTAAGACTACACGAACATCACTAAATATAGTTTAGAACATCATATGTACACTACGCGAACATCACAAAATACATCGCAGAACATCACATTAAAACTACACGAACATCGCTAAATATAGCATAGAACATCATATGTATACCACACAAACATCACAAAATACGTAGAACATCACATTAAGACTACGAACATCACTAAATATAGCATAGAACATCATATGTATACCACGCGAACATCACAAATACATCGTAGAACATCACATTAAGACTACACGAACATCGCTAAATATAAATATAAATATAAAATAAAATGATAAAATTAGTGAAGTACTTCCTCCGTCCCATTAAAAGTGTCGCTTTTGACTTTTAGAACTCATGTTTGACCGTTCGTCTTATTCAAAATTTCTATGCAAATAATAAAATAAATAAATCATTATTAAAGTATCTCTAATGATAAAATAAGTCATAACAAAATTAATATTATTTACATAAAAATTTGAAATAAGACGAATGGTCAAATAAGAAGTCAAAGTAAAAACGACACTTTCAATGGGACGAAGGGAGTAATTAATTAGAGTCAAATAAAAAGGAGAAAAAATGCTATCGAACATTACAAAAATGTCCTAGAACATTCAATGTATGCTTACTAAACATCACAAAATACATCGTATAAGATCACATTTCTACTCGCGGACATCAAAAAATATATCATAGAGCATTACATGTATACTATATGAATATCGCGTGTATCTGTAAATAAAAAAATAAAACAGAATTATAAATAGAAAAAAAGAAAATAAAAATAAATGAATGAAAGGAAAGAAAAAAGAAAATAAAAACATACAATAAAAATGAAAATAGAAAAAGGAAACAAAAAGAATACCGGAAAAAATGAAAAAAGAAATAGAAGAAAAGGGGGAAAATAAAAAGAATAAAAGATGACAAGAATAATAATAAATAAATAATAAATAAATAATAAAAAATAGTAGAAAGGAAAGAAAAAGAAAGAGGAAAAAAGAAATAGAAAAAGAAACGATGGAAACCATCGTCGTACGTACCTTGGACTGGGCCGAAACGACGGAAACCATTGTGGTACATACAAGAGCGCGTCCGAAGAAAAAAAACGAGCGCGGGGGGGTCGGCGCGAGGATGCTGTCCGACTGGCCGGCAGCGACGGGTTCCGCCTGTGGGGCGACGGTGGGGCGGAGCTGCCTGCCTGCTGTGCCGTGCCGGTGCGTGTCGGCGGCATGCGGACCGTGCAGATGGGCCAGGTTCAGCACCTTGGGTACTTGGGCTGACAAGTTCAGCCTCGGTGGGCCGATCGAGTGTTAGGTCTCGCGGACCGCGGACCCAAAACAAGTGTCAGCTAGGCTACCAATCTTCCCCGTCCCCACGTCCTTGTATGCCCATATTTACCATAGGACTATATTAAACATGTTAAACAAAAATCTAAGGGTAGCATGGATTGGAGTCGGAGCATGGCACTAAGGCCATGTTTGGTTGAGCTGTGGCTGTGGAAAAAAGCTGCTGTAAGTTGTGAGCTATGGAAAAGTTGCTGTGGGCTGTGAGCTGTAGAAAAGCTGAAAGCTGTTTGGTTAAACAAGTATAAAATATACCTTTTATCTTTATCTCTCTTGAAACAACTATGGAAGAGCTTTTACAAAAGCGAGGTCAACCCAAACTTTCAAAAATGAACTACTAAAAGCAATTGCTTCGAAAAGCACCTCCAAAAACAGCCCCTTTGGTTGGGCTTTTGGCTTTTGGGGCCAAAAGCCAAAGCCAAAAGCCCAACCAAACAGGGCCTAAAATATAAGAGAGTCCGGGGAAAAATAATGTTTACTAAATAGAAACACATGATTCAATACATGCTATATTTTTGTATGAGAAACAAAGAGTCCATTATTTAATCATGGAGAATAGAATCAGATTTCAATAGACGAGGAAGTCAAGTGAGAGATACATGCGTTTATTACATTCTTCCTTATTTTGTTTGAAAATAACTAGAATGTCTTACATTTCAAGACGAATAGAGTATGTAATCTTGCAAATGCATGTCACTCCTTGTATATATCCATATTTACCATAACCATCACAACAATTATGCTAATGGTAATAAGCCTTGTTGCATCAAGCTTTAACATGTCCTTTTCCTCCTCTCCTCTTTCTTCCCCACACCTGCGAGCATCGGCGGCTGCACGCTCGCCGACGACCTTGCCCGCGCCCCTGCTTACGCTCTGCCCTGTGCCAAGCCAAGCAACAGCGGTGTCATTGCCACCCGATCCCTGCTCGCCACGAGCCAAACCTTGGCAGTCGCACACTCGCCAGTGCCCCGGACCTACTCCACCACGAGCCGAGCACCGGCGACTGCGCAGCCCCGCCCTATCCCTCTCTGCGCCCTCTAGGGGGCAAATCCGCCCTGGCTGTGCCGGGGCTCACACACGTTGGAGGAAGCTGGGAGAATCTTGTTTTTTCAGCTCCACCTAGCCTACACGGCATGTGAGAGGAGGTTTTCGGGGGCTTCAAAGCTAAAGATGTTTGCAAAAGTAGCGTTTGCTAAAAAACATCTTCACCTAGCTGAGAAGCTGTCCAAGAATCCTTACCAAACAGACCTAATACTCACACCATTTCAAAAAGAGTGATATTCTAGCGCTCACCCTCTAGACTAACTACGTGGGGCTATCTACGTTAACTTGAGTAACCGACTCTTCCTTACAAAATGTTGTACCCACAACTAAATTACTAATGATACATACATGTGCAATTAGTTATCGTATATATCCAAAAGTTTGCATGCTTGGAAATAGAAAGTACCACTCTTTTGGTGCCACTCCTTTTTTTTTTGACGGATGACGGGATGAGTAAATATTCGAAACCAAAGGGAGTAGCTGATTTTGATCTACTCAATTCTTATGGAACTACTATATGAAAATATTATATTCCACTTAATATTCATCTAGACTTGGTTTACAATTTTTCTCAAAAAAAAAAAGACTTGGTTTACAAAATTTAAACTTACAAACTATGTAAATTATTTCCTTGCTTTGGATCAAACATGAGCCGTGACCTGGTGGTTAGTAGCTAAATTAGTACTCACTCGGTCTTGTAATACAGTGCATTATAGAAATTTTAAGATAAATTAAGAGAGGACATAAAAGATGCATGTACCCTCGTTTTATTTCCTAATCACACGCTATCATCAACGTGATTAATGGTGAT